GCCTGGGTCGTTCTTATTGCCATAGCGATTGTTTCTCTGGGAATGGATTTTAAAATAACAGACAAGCTGCAGGAGAGAGGAGAGAGAGGGACAGGAGATTCGGAGAGCCCTGGGGCTTTCGGAGACAGTCTCGCCAGCTAGCTGCACAGAGGTCATCCTGTGTAGTGTGCGACTCCCTCCACTTGCACCAGCAAGACAGGAGAAGCAGGGTCCTCTACTGCAGCTGCCTCGGGCCCTCGAAGTGGCTTCCAGAGCTGGCCTGGTGGGAGCAAAGTGCAGACAAGGTCCTGGCTCCAGGGTCCTTGCAGGTCCTGCAGATCTGTGCTGGGGCAGAGGCCACCATGTCATATCCCAGAAGAGGGAGGTCCGGGCTTTGTCCCTCCATTCATTCCCTTGTTCATTCATAGGCTTGACAAAACATGCAGTAAGTACCTAACCTGCCTTGAGTCAGGCGAGATGCGAGACCGTGGGTGTGGAAACCACTTGGAGGACAATTTAAAGCATCTCACACTACACTTCACTGCCTTTTGCAAAGCTGAGAAAACTCTGCAGAATCTTGGCCATGTTGCAGGCAGCTCCTTGGAGTCCCCAAGCCAGAGCTTGGGGCGGAGACTCGTTCCTGCCTCTGGGGAAGTTCGAGGGCTCCACTCCCCTCTGCCCCCCCACTGCCCTTGCCCTTCTTTGGATCCCTTCAGCTGCCCCCCCTCCTTTTGCTCTTCTTCTTTAGCCAGCCTCCTGCCACCAGCAAAGCTGGCACGGGCCTAGGGCCATGCTCACACTATAAAACCCAGACTCCTTAAGGTGGCAGAAGAGAGGCTTCATGTCCAGCCTCCAAGGCCCCGCCGGTCCCCCTCCTGCCCACTATCCAGTCATTGGCACTCCCCCCTGCCAAGCACATAGGCCAGGCACCTGCAAATAGCTGTGTGTTTGTCCCAAATGCAACCCCCCATCCCTGCCCCCCACGCCCTTGCTCATCTCCAAGATCCAGCTCAGGCAGTAACCCTTCTGGGGGCCTCTGCATTCAGCCTTCATGGGTAGCCAGCCATTCCCAATGTCTGTGGTTGGAGACACCAGCCTAACGAAACGCACCCCAGAAAAGCGCACTGTGGTGCCATGGTTTGAATGAGTCCCCCAGAGCTCATGCATTGGACACCCAATCCCCCGGTGCTGCAGTGTAGGGAGGTAGAACCCCAGAGAGGTGATGAGGCCACCCTCCCCTCTCTATCTGATCCACTAGGTGATATATTAATGTCACTGCCTTAGGAGTGGGTTCCTGTGGACCACTTGATCGTGGACTTCCAACCTCCCAAACTGTGAGAAATACATTTCCGTTCTTTATAAATTACCCAGTCTGGCCGGGCCCAGTGGCTCAGGAGACTGAGACAGGAGGATGGCAAGTTCAAAGCCAGCTTCAGCAACTTAGCAAGGCCCTAAACAACTTAGTGAGACCCTGTCTCAAAATTAAAAATAAAAAAGGGCTGGGGGTGTGGCTCAGTAACAGAGCACTCCTGGTTTCAAACCTCAGACCTGAAAAAAAATAAATAAAAGCTGGGCTGGGGATGTGGCTCAAGCGGTAGCGCGCTCGCCTGGCATGCATGAGGCCCGGGTTCGATCCTCAGCACCACATACCAACAAAGATGTTGTGTCCGCCGAGAACTTAAAAATAAAAATATTTTAATAAATAAATAAATAAATAAAAGCTATAAATTACCTCATCTCAAGTACTCAGACTGAAACACATGGCTCCATATATTTGTGCCACAGTCCCCCATCTCTGCAGCCTTTGCAAGTTACACCAGCATAGTAGATGCCACCAGCCTGAACTGAATGTGCACTGTGGATTTAAGAACTGTAAACTCATTTAAGCCCCAGAACAATCTCATGAAATAGGCACCATGATCACCCCCAACTCCCACATACCCAAAGTCCCCCATGTGACCATTGCTGGTAGGCACCCTGCCTGCCCGATAGGATCCGTTCCACATCCCAGAGAATCCCACTCTTGTTTATGGGTCTGACTTTCTCAGCCAGCCTCCGAGCTCAACAAGGGCAGAGACTGGGTCTGAATCATCTCCCAGCCCCCAGCACCCAGCACCTAGTCTGTGCCCAAAAGTCACTTCTTGAACACAAGGCACGTGGGGACCAAGAGGCAAGGCCCAAACCTGCAGACACACAGTGGGGGCCACAAGGCCCTGTTGGATGGGATTATTCGCTTCCTTGAGGTTTGCTGTGAGCTCCCTACTGGCCAGAAGTCCTTGGCCCTCATGTTGGGGTCCCAGGTGGCTAAATGCCCAGCCTGGGTAAATTCGCATTCCCAAGAAGTGGAGAGTGGAGGTGAGGGGGTCTCAGACCAGGCTCCTGTGGCATTCAAGTCTCAAGGTGACCTGGTCAGGGCCCTCGGGGGAGTGAAGCAGTAGGAGATTGATTCCATCTCCAGGGAAGAAACTTAGGAAAGTGAGAGCTCAGTCACCAAGTCACATGCAATCAAGGTGCCCAAGGTGAGAATCCCTATTTGGCTCCAGGAGGCACGGTTTTCATTGGCAGGCCCGGGCCCAGACCCACGAGGGGGCTGTGGAATCCATTTTCTGAGTCCTTGTAAGCATACTTTTATGAACTAGATGAAATACAATAAAAAAAAAAGAGAGTATCACATATGGACACAGTATCATTTTGCAAAACTCAATTCAGATGTGTGTGTGTGTGTGTGTGTGTGTGTGTGTGTGAAATCACCATATAAAAGGTTTTTCTTATTATGGGTCACGATGGGAGAAATCCTGTTCTCAGTGTGGTGTTTTCCAGACCTGGCTACAGGACAAACCACCTGGGGACGCTATTAAAATGCAGATTTCCAGGCAGAGTGGCGCTGGGCTCTGGACATGAAACTTTTTTTATCTCCTCAGTTCATTCTGGTGAGCGAGCCCTGGTATGCACCTCAGGTATGAGAGCAAGACCTAGCCAAATGATGAGACCCAGTGCAAAATGAAATTTCTGAGTTCTTCATTCTAAAAGAAAGGAAAAAAGTGTCATCCTAAGTACTGAAATAGAAAGCTCTTTTCTCTTCCATCTGTGGTTTCTGTCTCTTGACTTGCCATTTATTTGCTATTTAAGGCTGTGTTCCCTCTGGCATCAGGACATGCTTGGGGCAAATGCAGACCCTCCCAGTGTCCCTCCCAGAAATTCCAGAATATGAGCTCTTGGGAACGCACATCGCACCAGCCAAGGGACCTAGGCACACGATCCCAGCCATCTCTCCTTTCTAAGATCCACCTTCTTGCAATGGACAGGCAACCTCAAGGCTAATGCAACTGCTCAAGGAGATGAGCAAGAGGTTTCTAGGTCTGGCTCCTTGGGTGCAGGGTCCTTGCCCAGATGCCCCCAAGCCCATTTCCAGGACTGCTTGTCCCAGGCCATGCTTCAAGGACAAACCGGCAGTCAACGTGCCCACTCCTTGGCCAAAGGGTGACAGTTTGTGATGGGTGTGGACTGAGCTGGGGGTGCAGATGGAGGGCTTCATGGGTCTGTGGGTAAAGCCCCTCACGGTGTGGGAAGAAACCGAGGTAGAGGGTGGACTGGGCTGGCTCCCCACCTGCCTGTCTTTTTCAAGGGCAGAAGTCCGGGGCATTGAAACAATCCCTTCCAAGTCTCAGTGGAGACTTCCCAGTCCATCAAATGTCAGAACGAGGTCCCCAGGTATTCACCCCCTCCGTGGAAGTCATCTCTAGCTCCTCTCGGGTAGTTCCAGGCTGCAGGGGCCTCCAACCCCCTTCCCACACATTCTATTTTAATTGCAAAAGTAAGACATGAATGTTCCTTGTAAAACATGCAGGCAGAAGGGAAATGGGGTACATTTGCCTCTCAATATCTGCTGGGGATTGACTCCAAAACTTTCACCACCACCACCACCACTACCACCATCACCCAGGATACCAAACTCCAAAGCTACTCCAGTCCCTTATATGTTCTATGGAAAGACAGTCTGCTATATAATTTAAACCATCTCAAGATGACTTAACAATACTTACTACAATGTAAATGATATGTATGGAGTCATTGCCTTGGGTGGTTTAGAGAATAATAACAAGAAAAAAGTCTGTACATGTTCAGAACAGATGCAAATTTTTTTTTTAAAATTCCTAATCTGAGTTTGGTTGAATCTTCCGATGCAAACTTGCAGATAAGAGGGCCAGCTCTGGTCCTTGGGTCCAGACCTCAGGTCCCTCCATATAGTTAACTTCTGGAAACAGTTTTCTAAAAACTCTTTCTGTGCACTAATATATTTAGACGGATATCTACTTTGTTTTGTTGTGTGTTTTCTATAAATGAGATCATGCTCTATTATTCTGCAACTTGGAAAGTTTACCTATTGCATTGCTCCCTATGCGAGTGGACAGAGACCTCACTCTCGTGGGTGTTCGAAGAATTCTTCTAATAGAAGTCTCTAGATGTATTTCCAAACAAAATGAGGGAAACAGAATAGCGTGCAAACTTGTGCAGAAGTACCTTTTTAGCCTTTCCCGGGTCCCTCCTCCAGATGTGAAGTGGTGCCCAGCAAGGCATTGTGGGAATTCGTCGTGGGAGATCTCGGGTTTGGTAAATATCAAGGGGCAAAAAAGAACGGGGACCTCCTGTCTATCATCAGCAGAATAGGACGGAAGGCTGCTCCGGATTCGGAGAAGGAAGATATGGGATCAGCCCCAAGTTGCCATTGAACTTGGGAACCCTCTCTGGGCCTAGTTCTCTGTTGAAGGAAAGTTAATACTTTAATAACTTAGAGTTAATTAAGTTAACGGATTAAAGTTAATTGGTTCACGGATCCGGAGCGGCAAGGCACGGGTCCAGGCCATGTGTCCCAGCGCGGTAGCACAGGGTGCGGGTTGCAGTTACTAAATGGGGGACAGCTAAGTTCCAGCGGCATCGACTTGAGCGCCACCCGTTTCCTTTGCGAATTCAAAAACGGGAACCGACTCAACCGAACAGTCCTGAGGTGGCCAAGGCGCCACCTGCCGGAGGAGGAAGAGGAGGCCACGGGTACCGGCCGCTTGGGCTGGGTGACCCCGCTCCATCCCGGACCCCCGCGGCGGAGACTTCGGATCCGAGTAGGCTCCACGTTCCTGGGTGGCCGGAAGGTCGCAGCCTGGGCTCGGTCCCAAAGACTGGACAGAGTGGCTCCGCTGGTGTTGCGGAGAGGTCGACAGGAAAGGCAGGGGACCCAGACGCACGGCCTCGGCAACCCAGGGAACTGCTCCCCAACACAAAGCAGCGGCCGCGCAGGTGAGCGCGGCGGGGCCACGTGAGCCGGGGAGCAGAGCCC